AGTACCTCCTCTAAAAATCAGTAAACCTAATTACCTCCCCCTCCTGCCAAGATAAAAAATAATTAAGTAATACAATCACAAATATCAGGTGCTAAATAAATACAGGGAAATGACGACTCAGGAAAGTGTTAAAATATGTTAGGTTACTGATTTGTTATAAAAGCATGTAATGCAGGAACTGTAAACTGGAAGAGATGCACACGGAAGGTATGGGGAAAGGGAGCGGAGCTTCCATGCCCCGCCCCCAGCACCTCTCCCGCACGTCTGTGTTCACCCACCCGCAAGCTCCTTCACTGCATATTATTTTGCCCCATATGCTTTATTTTATCTCCTATATATTTTATTGTCATTATTTTGTATGTGTATGTGAAACTATTTAAGAGGAACTTTCTGCATTGTGTACCATCAATCCTACATACTTCAAACATGTATTTCCTGCAAACTAGGAATATAACCATAATACATTTATCAAATTCAGGAAAGTTAATCTTAATTCAGTACTATTATCTACTCTACGGTCTATTTGAATTTTGCCAGTTATCCCCATGGTCTCCTTTATAGCATTCTTCCCCACCCCCAAATCTAAGACCCAATCCAGGATGCCATATTGCATTTAGTTGTCACATGTCTTTACTCGTTTAAGATCTGGAAGAATGTCTCTGGTTTTCTTTGTCCTTCCTAACACTGACATTTTTGAAGATTATAGGCCAGCTGTTTTGTAAAATGTCTTTCAATTTGGGTCTGCCTGATATTTCTTGAAAATTAGATTCAGGTTATGCATTTTTTGCTTGGACAGAAGTGATGCTGGGCCTTTCTCAATGCATCATACCTAGAGCCTCCATCACTGGTCATGTGAACTCTGATCACTTGGTTAAGATGATGTCTGTTAGTTTTCTCCACCGTAAAATTGCTACTTTTCCTTGGTAATGAATACGTAGCTTGTGGGGAAATAATTTAAGACTATAAAAATATCCTCTATGCACCCCTGACGTTGCTACTCCAATTTCACCCAATGGTTTTAAACATCATTCTTACCTGAATCAATTATTATCATGGTGGTTGTAAACTGGTCCTTTTTAAACTTTACATTCCTTCTACAATTTTATGTTAGGTTTCCTACTGTAAAAGAACTTTCCCTATGCTCCTTCCTCCCTTCCACCTCCCTTCCTTCCTTCTTCACTCTGGGTCTCTAATATTTTCAGGATCAATATGAACTCATGGGTTCTTTTTTCATTCAGCGTGTTAGTTGATCACAGCCATTATTCATTCTGATGCTCAAGGTGCCCCTGCTTGGGCCGGAGGAGCTCCTTCAAGCTAGTTCCTTGTCCTTTGATACAGTTCCATCATTCTTGGAGCACTGCCTTATTTTCTGATGCAATAACGTGTTCCAGGTTCTTCTTTTCTTTCCCCTCCCCTTTATTTACTTATTGAAGAATAATTGACCTACAACACTGTTAGTTCCAGGTGCACAACATAGTGGTTTGATATTTCATTACATTACAAAATTTATCACCACGGCAAGTCTCATTACCATCTGTCACCACACTAAGTTATTACAATGTTATTGACTCTATTCCCCTTGTGGTACATTTCATCCCCATGAGTCTTTCTTTTTTTTTAATGGTGGCACTGGGGATTGAACCTAGGACCTCGTGCATGCTAAGCACACACTCTCCCACTGAGCTGTGCCCTCCTTCCCCCCCTTAATTTTGTAACTGAAACTTCATACCACAAACTCCCTCATCTATTTCGTCCATTCCTCTCACCACCTTCTCCTCTAGCAATCACCAGATTTTATTCTCTGTATCTATGAACCTGTTTCTGTTTCACTATGTTTGTTCATTTGTTTTGTTTTTCAGATTTCACATATAAATGAAATTACATGGTATTTGTCTTTCTCTGTCTGACTTATTTTACTTAGCACAATGCCCTCTATGTCCATCCACGTTGTCGCAAATGGCAAGATTTCGTTCTTTTTAATGGCTGAGTAATATTCCAGTGTTTATATATACCACCTCTTCTTCCATTTATCTATCAGTGGACACTTAGCCAAGATGTGGTTATCAGGCACTGGCCCCATTTTGAAGGTAGAGAGTGCAGAATTTACAGATTGGATGTAGGCTGTAGGAGAAAGAGAAGTGATCCTATGCCCCTTAGCCTTTAAAGATGTTGCTTCTCTGCAGTCTTCTTAGACACTCCCTAAGGCTGAACCTTGCCCCTATTTTAATGAGTATTCTATTATTTGAATTATTTATCCATAAGCATGTGTCTAAATGCATCATAGTTATTAAGTATCAGATGGCGGTACTTCCTGGGAGATCCTTATTCTTGGCCTGGGGTCCTTAGACCAACATGGTTTGGAGTTCATCTCTAGCACTGGCTGGTTGTCTGAGCCTAGCCAATTCTCTTAACTGTTTTGTTTCTCAGTTTCTTTACCTGTTAAAGTACAGGGAATAATCTGAATGATCAGAGTTGTTGTGAAGAGTAAGTGCTTTGTGACTGCAAAGTGCTGGCCCATTCTAAATGCCTAGGGCACGTGACTTAACCTTCCTGTACCTTAGCTTCCTCACCTGTAAAATGAGCTTGCTATGAGGAGCAGCTGGAATCATGCGCAGACAACCTTCAGTTCTGTACCTGGCCAGCTGCTGCTACTGAATTTTCTAAGTATTGTGTTTCTGCGATGTCTTGAGGGCAGGGCCCATTCCTTGTTCATATTTTCATCATCTCTCCCTCCACCCCAGGGTCTACACACTGTGCTGGTTAGATTGTTTCTTGAGTGCTTCAGGCCAGAGCCTGGACCCAGCGACATCCTCTCCACTCGCCCCAGAACTGAGGCTTAACATCAGGCCTGGGGAATGTACCACTTTGTCAGCAGCAATTTAGTTGAAATGACAGTTTTGTCAACAATGAATTTTGCTTCAGTGATTTTTTTTTAAAGGTTGAGAAATTGGGCATCTTTATGCTGTCTTACAAACATTTTTGTAGATATATTGGAATTAAAATTTTTTTAACCTCCAGTTACTTTGCCGCCAATTATTCCTACTTTTCTGTTTGCAAAGACAAAATGTTGAAACAACCTAATGTCTGACAATGGAATGGTTTCCTCCCTTCCTTCCTTCTTTTTGTTCATACTATCTGATCTTTCTTCCTTCCTTCCTTCCTTCCTTCCTCCCTCCCTCCCTC